GACTGTTTTGGATTGCTAGTTATTGGGGGGGGGGGGGGGCGCAGATATGTCCTAGGGCCCGTGGGCGGTGTGCGACCGGGGGGCCGGGGGGGGGGGGCTCTGCAGCTTACCTGCCTGCTTCTTGCTCTGACTGAGGGCTGCTGGGAGCAGGGGGCGGGGCTTGTTGCATGTGCCCGCCCCCTGGGCTCTTTACTGCCAGAGCTCCGCTCCTGTGCGCTCCTGCTGGAAATGACCCCTGAGAAACACTCAGGGCACAGATGGGAGACCAGGCCCACTTTCAGGAAAGCTCATTTTTACCAACTTTGCTTCATTTTCACTACTACTATGACGACGACAATGACTACTACTACCCGTACTACTCCTCGCCCACCCTGTGAGCAGGCTCTGGGCAATTTACAACATTATAGGCATTTAGAATACAATTAATATATAGTTAAGATTCCAAAAAATAAAACAAGAGATTGAAACCAATCAAGGTGGCAATACAGTAAGCCCCCTTTGGTGGCCACAACACTGCCCCGAATGGCAGGGCGCGAAGGGCATGTGGGGGTGATAGAAGAAAAACAGAGAGAGAGAGAGAAGTGCTTGTAGAGTGGTACTACTACTAGTAGTGCTATTACTAATACTTTACTAAAGCATTTTGGGGAGGGGCTGTAGCTCAGTGGCAGAGCCTCTGCCTGGCCTGCAGAAGGCCCCAGGCTCAATCCCCGGCATCTCTAGTTTAAAAAGACCAGGCAGTAGGTGCAGGGCCGGCCCCAGCTTATTTTGCACCCTAGGCAAGGATCCCTTCTGCCCCCCCCCCCCCCCCGGGACCCACCCAATTTTTAAAAAAAATACCATTTTAAAAACACAAATAATCAAGAAACTCCCAGAGTATGGGGCCGGGTTCAGTTTGGCGCCCCTAAGGGCCGTCCTGCTCTAGGCGACCGCCTAGTTTGCCTAGTGAGTGAGCCGGCCCTGAGTAGGTGATGGGAAAGACCTCCGCTTGAGACCCTGGAGAGCCGCTTCCACTCTGAGTAGACAACACTGACCTTGGCGGACCAAGAGTCTGATTCAGAGTAAGAACAGCTTCACGTGTGTCTCCATGTGAAGCCATCATTGTGTATTCCATTTTAAGCCATCTGAGAGCCACTTTGGTGTGGTGGTTAAGAGCAGCGGACTCTACTCTGGGAGAACCGGGTTTGATTCCCCACTCCTCCTCCACATACAGCTGCTGGCGTGACCTTGGGTCAGTCACAAGTTATTTCTGAGCTGTTCTCTCAAGAGCAGTCCTCAAGAGAGCTCTCTCAGCCCCACCTGCCTCACAGGGCGTCTATTGGGGGGGGAGGGGAGGGGAAAGGCGTTTGTAAGCCGCTCTGAGACTCCTTCAGGCAGTGAAGGATTGGATATAAATCCAATCTCTTCCTCTTCTTCTTCTATTTTCCATGTGACGCCATTAGTGTGTCTAGATCTGACACTCTCCGTCCGTCCAGGGATCAATAGGGACTGGGCTGGTTAGTTCAGTCTGCAAAGTAATTATCTCTCTCTAATTGTTGCTCTAAATGATTCGCTTGGCAGCGGCCCACACACACTGTGATGGGATCCCTTTGCCTGGAACTTCTTTTTATTGCATTGACAATCTCACATCACTGTCTCCAAGAGCATTTGGGTTTCCAGACTCATTTTGGGATGATGCCTCCCTCCCTTCTGGTTGTACTTGTCTGTCTCTCTACCTACCTACCTACCTACCTAGAATGCGGACTGAAAAGTACTGAGACTACAGCTCTCATACTTTTTATTAGTGCAGAACAAGACAACTTTAGCCGGCTCACAGGCCGGCTTATGTTCCGTGAAAACCACAGCCCAAAACACACCCCTACACCGTAATAGGCTATTTACAGTGGCCGAGAGTTCCATGGGCCCTCGGATTGGTGCGGGCTAGGATCCGCTTAGTCCATTGTTCGCTGGAGCGAAGCTCGGAGGTTTAGCCGGACCGTGTGGAGCCCCGGGTGCCACATGGTCGGGACTGAATACATTACACGGATTCTAATCTGAGAAAACTGAGTTTGATTTCCCTCTCCTCCACATGAAGCCAGCTGGGCGACCTTGGGTCAGTCACAAGTTCTCTCAAGGGCAGCTCTTGGGAGAGCTCTCTCAGCCCCACCTGCCTCACAGGGCGTCTGTTGTGGGGGGGGGGGAAGGAGTTTGTAAGCCACTCTGAGACTCCTTCAGGCAGTGAAGGGCGGGGTATAAATCCAATCTCCTCCTCCTCCTCCTCTTCTTAGATGTGTTGAATTAACACCACAGGTGGCCCAGCGTACTGTGGGGGCGAGTCCTCAGAGGGGAGAGACTTCTGGACAACTGGGTTGGGAGACTAAGGGGCGGGGAATGTCGAGGGTCCTGATCATCTGGAAGGGAGGCGGTCTGTGGAGCTGGGAAAGGCACAGGGCTGCCAATTCTGAGTGGGGAAATTCCTGGAGATTTGGAAGTGGAGCCTGTGGAGGGGAGGGGAGGAGCCTCCGCAGGGTACGATGCCCCAGCATCCATCCTCCAAAGCAGGGGTTGTTTCGTAGAAAAAGAGCTAGGGGGACTCATTAGCGTAACTCATTAGCATATGCCACGCCCCCTGACATCACCTGAAGTGTGTCATAAGGCCACACTCCCTGACATCACCGGAAGTGTGTCATAAGGCCACACGCCCCGCCCCCAACGGTCCCGGCCGCCGCCACCGGCCTTGCAGCTCCACTGCCGAGCCCCATGA